CAAGGCGAGCGCTCTACCACTTGAGCTACAGCGCCACTTCCGGTTTTCTGGTGGTTTATTGGAGATAGGAGTCTCACGGTCTTTCCTGCCCGGGCTGGGTTTGAACTGCGATCCTCAGATCTCAGCCTCCTGAGTAGCTAGGATTATAGGCGTGAGCCACCAGCGCCCGGCTCCGAAGGATCTCTTAAAGATGTAAAGTTCTTGGGGCTGGGAAGTTGGCTCAGTGGTAGAGTGCTTGCCTTACATACATGAGGCCCTGGGTTTGATTCCTAAGCACCACATAAGCAGAAAAAAGCTGGAGGTGGCGCTGTGGCTCAAGTGGTAGGGTGCTACCCTTGAGATGAAAAGCTGAGGGACAGCGCCTAGGCCCAGAGTTCAGCCCCCAGGACTGACAAAAAAAAAAAAAAATGTAAAGCTCTTAAAACAGTGCCTTTGAGCCAGGAACCTGTGGCTCATTTCTATAATCCTACTTCTCCAGGAGGCTGAGATCTCAGGATTTTGGTTCAGAGCCAGCCAAACAGAAAAATTCAAGGTCTCATCTTATCGCCAAATGGCAGAAAATCAGGACTGGAGGCATGGCTCAAGTGGTAGAGCACCAGCCACAAACAAAAATATGAGTGTGCTCAAGGCCTAGAGGTTAAGCCCCCATACTCACATAAAACAAAGAAACCTAATATATAATAAGCACTTAATAAGATCTCACTATATAGAGATGATTTATTATATATTATCTGATGAGCTCTTATTAGCTATTATGGTTAATTTCTTCTCTTAGTGACTTCTTTATTTACTTTTTTTGTAGTATTGGGAATTAAACATAGGCCTTCCTGCATGCTAGGCAAGTGGTGTACCACTAGTTATACCCCAACCCTGTCACAGTTATTTTTTATCATCATTTCTGGAATATCTGGAAGAATAGAAAAGAACACAGGTCTGTTTCCTGCCCTTCTAACCCAGATGCTGTTTGTTGTAAACTGAAGCTTTCCTGAAGTATGCAGATAACTTGCCATAAATTCAACCACCACAGTGGTAGAAAATAGATCATTGGTTGTCAGGGGTGTTGGAGTGAGTGGAAGATGTGATCAGGTTGGAGAGAATGAAGGAAATTTATGGGAGAGAAAACTTCGATAGGGGTTATTCAAAGCTATAGATGTATTAAAATCCATAGAGCTATAATGCTAAGCACAGTCATATTTTCTGTATTGTAATTTAAAATATAAAAGTAAAATAACACCTTAAAAATAAAAGCGCAAAAGTGCAAAGCCGAGCACCGGCGGCTCACGCCTGTAATCCTAGTTGCTGAGGAGGCTGAGATCTGAGGATCACGATTCAGAGCCAGCTCGGGCAGGAAACTCTGTGAGACTCTTATCTCCAGTACACCACCAGAAAACTGGAAGTGGTGCTGTGGCTCAAGCAGTAGAGCGCTGGCCTTGAGCTGAAGAGCTGAGGGACAGTGCCCAGGCCGAGTTCAAGCCCCACACCCGACAAAAAATAAATAAAGTAAAAGTGCACTGAAGGGGTGAAAGTGTCCAAAAAGAGATGTATTCATTACCTGATTTATGAAACTAACCACTCTGTACATCACCTTTATAATAACAATAAAACTAAATAAAGAGCACTATGGAGAGTATCCTAGGTGTAGGTGTCTAAGCTGGCCTAGCCCTGGTGCTGCCTGACTGGCATTTCCGTTGGCATAGTATGTATACCCAGGCTTTGCCTACACTTTCTGACCCATCATCACTTACTGGCTTTTTCCTTCCTCATGTTAGATTGGAGCTGGAGGGAGCATCACAGGGCTGAAGTTTAACCTTCTCAATACCAACCAGTTCTTTGCCTCTTCAATAGAGGGAACAACTAAGCTGCAAGACTTTGAAGGCAACACTCTACGAGTTTTTACCTGCTCAGACACTTGCAAGTGAGTAATTTAACTAGTAAGTTCTAGTTCTGGTAAGAGCATCCGGATCCCATTTCTTTTAGCCAGACATGGCACAGGGAAGAATGGAAATGTATTAGCTACTTTCCACCCCTTCTTCTCTTCCTCAAACTCTTTCGTGCTCTGATTTTGGTCCAGGTGGATAATTGCCTTGGGAAGCCTTGGCCCTTCTCAGGAAAAGGCCTCCGTCTCTTCCTTAAGGTGTACCTATATTAAACTAGGCTTTGACTCTCACAAGCCAAGCCAATAGGGTATTAGTTCAGAAAACCTTACAGAGAGTGAAGCAGGAGCTAAGAATTGAGGTTTCAATGCTGTTCATTTATTGGGCTGTAAATACTTGACTAATTTTTCAGTTGAAGCTTAAAGTAAGAGAACCCTCTTCCTAAGAGAAAGTGACTGGAGAAATTAAAAAATGCAAATCGCTTTAATTTCTAGCCAGAGACACAACTTCCAAGAAATGAATGCGAGTATGACATCTAACTAGCATTGGGTATTATCTTAAGCTATCCCATGGGGGTGAGAAACACAGGAGCCATCAAGATTGGTGACTGGGCTTCAGGTTCCTCTTCCCCAGCAGCCTCCTCCTCGCATTCAGGAAGGATAGCAAAAGGCAGTGCAGCAAGATGTTGAGGGCTTCAGAGAAATAGTGTGACTCAGAACTCTTCTGGCTGTGGATCTGCATCTATGAGGCACGTACTACTGAATCTCCTTGTCCTCAAGTAGTTTTCTAATGGAAAGAGCATCTGGGTTCTGTTTGCTTTCCCTAATTGTTCAGAAGGGGGCAGACATTTCTCTCTAGCTAGCTGTAAGCCACAGAGCTGAACATTTCCTGTTTGGTCTGTCATCTTTGGTTCAGAGGGTGAAGAGTGACTGGTGAGAGAACAGTATACAAGTTTGCCTTAGAACCTGCGCTGTATGGGACAAGCTAGCTTTGGGACTTGCCCTGTGATTCTGAGGTTTAGCTGCTCTTACTAGCTGAGGATGCTGGCAGAGCAGTAACTGGATACATGGTAAACAAATCTGGGTGTTTCACAGCAATCCATAGCAAAAAAGTTATTCATTAAACAATATATTGAATGCCTACTGAGGGTTAGATTGGAGCTGCAATTGTGAATAAATGGATCCAGCTCAGTCCTGAGAGTTACAGCATAGTCTCTCTCTTTCTCTAGCATCTGGTTTTGCAGCCTGGATGTGTCTACCAAAAGCCGAATAGTAGTCACAGGAGACAATATGGGAAATGTGATCCTGCTGAACATAGATGGCAAGGAGGTATATACGGAGGTCCAGGTTATCCCTTTTCCCTCCCTTGGTTCTGTGTCCCCACCTGAACCAGCCTCTTTCCCACAGCTTTGGAATCTCAGAATGCACAAAAAGAAAGTGACCCATGTGGCTCTGAACCCCTGTTGTGATTGGTTACTGGCTACAGCCTCCGTAGATCAAACAGTGAAAATCTGGGACCTGCGCCAGGTTAAAGGGAAAAACAGCTTCCTCTACTCCCTGCTGCACAAACATCCTATCAACTCAGGTGTGACATCTTAAACCTCATCTTTCCTGCAGATCCTTCTTGTTTACCACTCCTGCAGTTTTTCCTGTAACTTTGAAAGCTATTAGGTCAAACATTTATCTCCCAAGAGCATCTTGCCAAGCTGATGACTAGGAACCTTTCTGGCTTTGGTTGCTCCTTTCCCTGGTGAATTTTTAGAATATTTCCAGAGTCTTTCCTCCTGTCCACTTCTGACTAGAGAGGAATAGAAGGGTGGTGTTCCTACTAGGAAAGGCCTCTAAAGGCCAGAAGAGCAGGGGTTTGGGAGATCTTTTAGCTTAAGGGGCTTTTCACTTTTTCAGCTTATTTCAGCTCTGATGGATCCCGCCTCCTGACAACTGACCAGAAGAATGAGGTCCGGGTTTACTCTGCCTCACAGTGGGACTGCCCAGTTAGCCTGATCCCTCACCCTCACCGTCACTTCCAGCACCTCACACCCATCAAGGTGAGTGAGGGAAGAGAGCTGTTATCATGGGAACCAACCAGCACTGACCAAGGAGCATAGAGGGGCAGACATGGTCAGCCTGCAATCAGTCCCAAACACAAAGCAGCAGTCTGTTAACCCTTTGGCTTTCTCTGTCCTTTCACCCTACTTCTTCAGTTCCATTTTGTTCAGCTTTCTCATTTTTTTCTTTTCCTGTTTTTGGTGCTGGTACTAAGGCTTGAACTCCAGGTCTCATGTGCTTGCTCAGCTTTTTTCATTCACAGCTGGTACTCTACCACTTGAGTCATGTCTCTAGTTCTAGTTTTTTTTTTGCTGGTTAATTGGAGATAATAGGAGTCTCGTGGATTTTCTTCCCAGGCTGGCATCAAACCAGGATTCCTTAGAGCTAAACCTCCTGAGTACATAGGATTATAGCTGCGGGTGTCCAGCTTCCTGAGTTTTCTTAATGTCTCTCTGATAAACTCTTTTTCTTGTCTCACTGTAGGCTTTTTTTTAGGGGGGGGAGAGGCTCTCTGTTCTACACTCTGCTTCAGTTTCCTATGTGCAGCTGCTTCACAAATTAACCTTCACCTTCTAAGTTTGTCTTGCAGGTTTAGGTGGCTTCTGATAATAGAAATAAGTCCCTTACTTTCCCAATTTGGATCTCCATTTCAACTTAAAAAAGGAATAATAGTATCTAACTAATAGGGTTGTTGTGAGGATGAATCAGTATACTTAAAGCACTTGGCACTATACCTAGCACATGGTGAGTACTTAGTAAAAGATGACTTAGTATCCCATGTATCTCAAATCAAACCCAATAGGGATGGGAAGGTGGCTCAGTGGTAGAGTGCTTGTCTTGCATGCATGAGGCCCTGGGCCCTCAGCACCACATAAGCAGAAAAATCCAGAAGTGGCACTGTGGCTCAAGTGGTATAATGCTAACCTTGAGCTGAAGAGCTGAGGGACAGCGCCCAGGCCCAGAGTTCAAGCCCCACGACCGACAAAAAAAAAAAAAAAAGAGAGAAAGCTTATTTGAAGGTAAAAGAAAAGCAATGAAAGAAAGTAACAAAAACTCTTGATCTGGAGAGGAGATTCAAGAGGAGTTTTTAAGGCAGCAGGGCCATCATCATGGCTGGAAACAGAGATACACATTTATTATTATTTTTAGCGTGGTAGAGAGTCCTATAAAGCTTTCTCTCAAGTAAGAGACATTTACATATTGAGTTGCAGTGTAGGCCATGTCAGAGTGAGTTCAGCAACAGAGCCAGCAACCAAGAAGGATAAGGGGTTTGGGGAAAAGAGGACAGTGTTGGCGTTCTACATAGAGTAGTGAAGCCTAGTCAACTGATGGGAGCAAGAGATTGTCTTACTAGCCCCAAAGGTTTGACAGACTGGGTGCTGGTTAGAATGTTTATAGAGCAGTTGAATGTGTCAGTTAGTATGTGAGTGTGTGTAGGAGATATTGTTTGAGTCTAGGTGCAGGGTGGCATTAGCACAAGATAAATAACGAAGGATCTCTTTTTTTTTTTTTTTTTGTTGGCGTGGGGCTTGAACTCTGGGCCTGGGCGCTGTCCCTCAGCTCTTCAGCTCAAGGCGAGCGCTCTACCACTTGAGCTACAGCGCCACTTCCGG